ATCTGTTAAACTGTAATTTATTTCTGTGATGCGCAGCTGAATTTCCAGCATCATTACTCCAGTCTTCAGTGTCACATGATCTTCAGAAATCATTCTAATATGCTGATTTGCTGCTCAAGAAACATTTCTGATTATTATCAATGTTCCATTTTTGTGGAAACTGATACATTTGATTTTTTCAGGATTCTTTGATGAATAGAAAGTTCAAAAGAACAGCGTTTATTTGAAACAGAAATCATTTGTAACATTATAAATGTCTTTACTGTCACTTTTGATCAGTTTAATACTGAATAAATTTTTTTTATTTATTACAAAAAAATATTTTGCATGGTAGTATAGTTACTAAGTGGGATGCTAGTTGGTTGCTAGGGTGTTCTGGGTGGTTACTAGGGCATTTCTGTTTTGTTTAAATAAATAAAAAAAACACTGAAAAGAAACTGAAATAAATGGTATAATATAATGACTGAATTGTATGAATATATTTTATTATTCAAATTATAAATGAGATTTGCTAAAGATTATATTTAACATTTTTATTAAATAATTAGTAAATATTTTTAAAGACTTTTTTCTACAGAGACCAGGTAATATCAGTTAAATGTTTTTTTTTTGTTTGTCTTTTTTTGACGTTCAAAAAGGAACCTTTTTGGTTTGGTAAAGCAAGATTTAAAGATCTTGGTTTTGGTTTTGAATCTCAGGGAATGCATGAACTGATAAAATGCAAACGCTCAATGCTTTCAATAAAAGCATCTGCCAGATGCATAAATGTACTGTAAATGTAAGACTGAGAGGAAGAAGAGAGCAGAGGGAGATCAGGTGATGAGGTAACATCCTGGAGAACCAGGGATGGGGTTTTCCTACAGGAACCGGAGGATGGGAAGGTCTGGTTTCATGCGTCTGTTGTAATCTGATGTGGTTATGATATAATCTGGTTGAGCTGCTGGTTCTGGGTGAGCGCTGGGCCCTCATTATCTCTGAAATACTTCACCCTGATCGGTCAGTCTCGTCATTCTGTGGTCAAAAATGATGCCAAACATTATAATTGACTTTCCTGTTGCATCATCATCACAGGCATTTTTTTTATGTCATTATTTTATTACTGTGTCCCTGCAGATCCTGTGAGACTCGTTCAATCATTCACAATGTACCACTTCTGTTAAGTAATGCTCTCACTGCCAGCTTAAAAATGAAAAAAATGTATTTTTCATGCATTGACTTTGATGTGCACACATAAGAGCAGCACTCAGCATGTTGATTTTGGAAAGGCTCTAGAGAAACACGGTCAACGCAGATAAACTATTTGTTATCGTTTGCATCTGCAACATTTTTTCCCAGCAGCATTTGGCCTGGTGTTTGTTAATGTAGGTGTTTTTCCATGGAATTGCGTAACTGCAGTGAAATCTTATTAGCGTTGCTTTTTATAAACACATTTGCAGGGAGGAGCAGCGCAGACTCGATCTGATATCCACGTTTGTTTTGGAGCGTTTCGGGAATGTTTGGGAAACATTCCGTGTTTGTTTTCTGCTTTGAATAATTTGCGGTCAGACTGGGAGTATTTTTGGAATCTTCATCTTTTTTTGGAATTCGAATTCCGGTTAAGTTACAGTGAATTCCGAGGGGGTCGTGATGTTCATTAGGAGGTCAGAGGTCATGCTCGCGTCTGTCTGAGCACAGATAATCCATCTGTTTCCCATCCTGGCAGTCTGATGATCGACAGGCGACTCCTGCGGCGTCCCAGCATCCTTCGCTCCACAGGAGGGCGGCTGAGTGACCAATCATCACTCACAGTCTCGCAGGCAGCAGACTCTCGACTGAAGGTCGTTCGGGGATGTAAGAGAGTTTTAGTTGCTAATGGATATTGTATATTATTCCAGAACATTTTGTCCAGGGTTTGGAAGCCTGTTGGCGGATTGAACCGAGCCGAGGATGTCTGCGTTGATTGCATTTCGACTGCATGAAATGCTTGCTTCTTCATGTTGAAGTAATACTTAAGGAGGAAAGGAAGTTGTTTGGAACAAATTTGAAGGACTTGTTCTGTGTTTAAAATAGCTAAGTGTTTTGTTT